TGACTTCTCCATGCGTGGGTGCTTTTGACCCACCATGCGGGGAGGTGGAGGAGAGTGGGGCGCTCAGCGGAACTGGCTCGTTGCCACGTGTGGAGCAACAGGATCGGAAAGCACATGGGGCTGTTTCTACCCCGTCCCTTGTCCCCCCCCACCCCCGGCGCGGACCTGGCCCGCGCGGGACTCATGCCCAACGTCCCTGCCAGCATCCCTCCCAAGGGTTTCTCGCCCCGCCTCACCGGTTATTACCTATTTGAATATCTTGGCCTGAGTTGGCCCCTGGCCAGGGGATATACAAGGTGAAGCCTTGACCCACAGAGCCAGGGAGCTAGAAGGAACCTGGGTGACTGTCTTCTCCCATCTCTCCATTTTGTGGGCGAGGAAATGAAATTCCAGAGAGGCGAAGCCACATAGCTCAGATCCCACAGTAAATTAGCGCCAGATTCCGAACAAATCCAGACGCTCAATGCCTCCTGGAGACCAGTCCAGGGTGGACATGTGCCTCGTCCCTTCCAGCGATGGCACGCTTGCCGTCCACGTGCAACCGTGTGAGGGACGTTCTGTGTCGCCAGTCGAGGAAATCCGAGCTCGTGCACAGGAAGTGACCGGCCCCCAAATCACACCGAGGTTTTGGCAGAGTTGGGACTTGAATCTGGTTCCCCGTGTGGACGGGCTGATGGTAGTTCAAGTGTCTCTAGCGCCCTAAGTCCACGGTCTGGGGAAATATGGCGCCTGGATGACTGTAGTGACGTCTGAGCGGGAGGATAGTTTTAACTGATTGTTGGCTCCACTACTGCTGCTCAGTGTGGTATGGCCTTGGACTTGTCTCTGAGCAGCAGAGACCCAAGGCTGGTCTGGAGGGTCTCTTGGGCCAGTATGGCACCAGCCCTTTTCCCATCTAGGGCAATGGGCCATTCATTCATTCATTCATTTATTATGAGTGTTTTATGCTTTATTTATTTATTTTAAAGGGGTTTTTTAATATTTATTTTTGAGAGAATGAGACAGAGAGAGAGACAGCGAGTGGGGGAGGCGCAGAAAGAGACTGGGAGACACAGAATCCCAAGCAGGCTCCAGACTCTGAGCTGTCAGCACAGAGCCCGACGTGGGGCTCAAACCCACGAACCGCAAGATTGTGACCTGAGCTGAAGTTGGACGCTTAACCGACTGAGCCACCCAGGTGCCCCGCTTTATTTATTTATTTTTTTAAAATTTAACAAGTCAGTTAACATACAGTGTATAATAATTTCAGGAATAGAATTTAGCGATTGATCACTTACACGTAACACCCAGTACTTGTCCCACCAAGTGTTCCCCTTAATGCCCCATCCCCCCTTTAGTTCTTCCCCCCCATCCCACACCCCGCCAGCAACCCTCAGTTTGTTCTCTGTGTTTAAGTTTCTTATGTTTTGTTCTTATGTTTTTATATTACTTTGGCTTCCCTTACGTTCATCTGTTTTGTATCTTAAATTCCACACGTGAGTGAAATCACATGATATTGTCTTTGACTGATGGATTTTACTGAGCATAATACCCTCTAGTTCCATCCATGTTGTTGCAAATGGCAAGATTTCATTCTTCTTGATCGCCAAGTAATATTCCATTGTGTACGTGTACCACATCTTTTTATTCATTGATCAGTCGATGGACATTTGGGTTCTTTCCATACT